ATATGATGAGATAAATCAATATTGCAGCAATACTTCTGGAAAGTAGTTAGGGCAATTTTTGGAAGATTTTGGGGAAAAAGTTTTAATTATTTGCACTGATTTAGGTCATAGGATTCGTGAGTAAGTTCTACCAGATGAGGGAGACTTTGTTCCATGGGTCTGAAAAGCAGGCTCATCTACTTCTAGGGCGACTTAGTCTAGGGCCCATTGGAACAATCCTGTCAGAATATCACATTCTTACACTGAGAATATTTTATGTCCTTTTGCTATGACTGGACACCGATTTGGTCTTGTGTGAAGTGTGATTTGCTTAATGTGACCTGCTCTTCTGAATTTGTTTACAGAAGATCGAAAAGATCACGATGAAGAACAGAAATGAAGAGACAGCAAAAATAAACTTCTTATGAGTCAAGTGGCCTACTACCTGGACTGCCGGCTGAAGACGGAAGGTAAGTTCAGTCACGAAAGTGATGAAAAATGTCCTGTCTTGTCTATGAAATGGTACATTCTCTTCTTCAAAGTTAATTTCATCCTTCCCATACTTCTAGGAAAACAGCAGTGGGTAATTTAACATTTTGTTAAAGATGGAAGACAGAGGCCAAAATCTTTAGCAACTTTTCCACGTCTGCAGTAAGGCGAGTGTGGAACTAGTGTTAATATCCCAGCTATTGATTCCTGACACAGGCACAGAACCACCTGCTTTTCTCAGCAAGAGGTTAAATCATGTTTACATGAATGCTCTCTTGCATATAAAATCCTGCAAAATGTATAAGCAAGATAAAAGTAGACGTGTTTATTTCCAGGTTTCAAGGTGACTGAGTAGTTAAGACCAGTTGACTTTAAGGAGATTGAGAGTGGAGATGAGAAGGGGAAAAGCAGGGAAATGACATCTTCAACTCAATAGGCAAGGCTGTCAGTGACATCCCTCAGTCCCGATTAAACCAATTTGACGTCACCAGTTTCTAACCATCATGTGCTTGGGTTTCTTCTCCCTAGTCCCTGGCTTTATGTGTTCTTCACCAAACATCAGCAAGGTGGCATCTGGCAGGCCTCCTTCCAGAAAAAACACAGAGGTGAACATCCCAGAAGGCATTGAGAAATCCTGCTCCCAGCAGGAAGATAACAAACTGAATGTCCGAGTCAGCAAAAATAGATGTCCTATGAGTCAGGTGAACTACTCCGTGAACTACCGGCTGAAGACATACAGTAAGTTCTATAGGTTGACCACCACGAAACTGATGAATGAGGTCCTGTCTTGTCTTGAGAAACTAACCACTCTCTTCATCAAAATTAATTTCATCCTTCCCATACTTGTAGAAAATAGCAATGGGTATTTTAACATTTAGTTAAAATGGAAGACAGACGCCAAAATATTTAGTAACTTTTCCACATCTGCAGTAAGGTGGGTGTGGGACTGGGGTTATAATCCCAGCTATTGATTTCTGACACAGGCACAGAACCGCCTGTTTTCCTCAGCAAGAGGCTAAATCCATGTTTACAGGAATCCTCTCTGTACCGTATAAGATCCTACAGACAAATAGCATCTAGTCTGCTGGTCTAAATGTCTGAGGCTACTGAACTTCCATTCAGTTCTGGTTTCTGTTAAAGACCCAGTAGGCAAAGCTGTGTTCTGGGGACCCTGAGGGAAACACAGTGACAGCAGACAGTACCCACTGTGACGAGCTTAAAGGGAACCCGGCTCCTAATAGAACCTGTGGTATCTGTAAGTGGCACCATCAAGAGCAGGAAGTACCCTGGTACTGGTGACTCCGCCTGCCAATTAGCTGGGATCCCCGGTGGGCACCACCAAACGTGGCTAATTGTTGTATTTTATGTAAAGGCAAGATTTCACCATGTTGACCAGGCTGGTCCTGAACTCCTGAGGTCAGGTGATGTGCATGTCTCCTAAGTTGCTTGGATTCCAGGTGTGAGCCACCATGCTGGCTCCACAGATTCTTTTTTAAGTAAATGTTGTTAGAATTCATCTGTTGGTCCAGTCTCCTATATAAATTTCTCTAACCATTCATTGACCTTGATATATGATGAGATAGATCAGTATTGCAGCAACCCTTCTGGAAAGTAGTTAGAGCAATTTTTGAAGATTTTGGGGAAAAGGTTTTAATTATTTGCACTGACTTAGGTCATAGGATATGTGATTAAGATTTAACAGATAAGGGAGATTTTGTTCCATGGATCTGAAAAGCAGCTCATCTACTTCTAGGGTGACTTAGTCTAGGGCTCGTTAGAACATTCCAGTCAGAATATCATATTCTTACACTGAGAATATTTTATGTCCTTGTGCTATGATGGGACACTGATTTGGTCTTGTGTGAAGTGCGATTTGCTTAATGTGACCTGCTCTTCTGAATTTGTTTACAGAAGATCGAAAAGATCATGATGAAGAACAGAAATACAGAGACAGCAAAAATAACCTTATTATGAGTCAAGCGGCCTACTACCTGGCCTCCCAGCTGAAGACGGAAGGTAAATTTTATAGGTTCACCATCACGAAAGTGCTGAATGATGTCCTGTCTTTTCTCTGAGAAACTGAACACTCTCTTTATCAGAATTTATTAAATTTTTCCCATACTTCAAGGCAAATATAAATGGGTACCTTAACATTTTGTTAAAAATGGATGAGAGACCACAGTATGTAGCACCTTGTCCCTGTCTGCGGTAAGGCAGGTGTGGGATAGACGGTAAAGTCTCAGCTGTTGATTTCTGACACAGGCACAGAACCGCCTGTCTTTCTCAGCAAGAGGCTAAATCATGTTGACAGTAATCCTCTCTGTACCATATAAGATCCTGCAGACAAGTAGCATCTAGTCTGTTGGTCTAAATGTCTGAGGCTGCTGAACTTCCATTCAGTTCTGGTTTCTGCTGAGGCCTAGTAGGCAAAGCTGTGTTCTGGGGACACTAGGGTAAACATGGTGTTGGCACACAGTACCCACTGTGAGGAGCTAGAAGGGGACCCTGCTCCTAATAGAACCTGTGGTATCTGTAAGTGGCACCATCAAGAGCAGGGAATACCCTGGTACCGGTGACTCAGCCTCCCAGTTAGCTGGGATCCCCAGTGGACATCACCACACTTGGCTAGTTTTTGTATTTTTAGTAGAAATGAGGTTTCACCATGTTGGCCAGGCTGGTCTTGAACTACTGAAGTACAGTGATCTCCCTTCCTGGGTTCCTAAATTGCTCCGATTCCAGGCATCAGTCACTGTGCTGGCTCCACGGATTCATTTTTATGTAAAGGTTGTTAGAATTCATCCATCGGTCCAGTGTCCTCTACAAATTTCTCTAACCATTTGTTGACCATCATATATGATGAGATAGATCAGTATTGCTGCAATGCTTCTGGAAAGTAGTTAGGGCAATTTTTGAAGATTTTGGGGAAAAAGTTTTAATTATTTGCGCTGACTTAGGTCAGAGGATATGTGATTAAGATCTAGCAGATAAGGAAGATTTTGTCCCATGGATCTGAAAAGCAGGCTCATCTACTTCTAGGGCGACTTAGTCTCAGGACCAGTAGAACATTCCCGTCAGAATATCACATTCTTTCACTGAGAATATTTTTCATTCTTGTGCTATGACTAGACACTGATTTGGTCTTGTGTGAAATGCGATTTGCTTAATGTGACCAGCTCTTCTGAATTTGTTTACAGAAGATAGGAAACGGTGCAAGAAGGAACAGAAATACAGAGACAGCAAAAATAAACTTCTTTTTTTTTTTTTGAGACGGAGTTTCACTCTTGTTACCCAGGCTGGAGTGCAATGGCGCGATCTCGGCTCACCGCAACCTCCGCCTCCTGGGTTCAGGCAATTCTCCTGCCTCAACCTCCTCAGTAGCTGGTATTACAGGCACGCGCCACCATGCCCAGCTAATGTTTTTGTATTTTTAGTAGAGACGGGGTTTCACCGTGTTGACCAGGATGGTCTCGATCTCTTGACCTCGTGATCCACCCGCCTCGGCCTCCCAAAGTGCTGGGATTACAGGCTTAAGCCACCGCGCCTGGCCAAAAATAAACTTCTTATGAGTGAAGTGGCCCACTACCTGGGCTGCAGACTGAAGACAGAAAGTAAGTTCAATAGGTTCACCATCACCAGAGTGCTGAACCATGTCCTGTGTTTCCTCTGAGAAACTAAAGACTCTCTTCATCAGAATTAATTTCATTTTTGCCATATGTCTAGGAAAATATAAATGTGTATTTTAACATTTTGTTAAAGGTGGACGAGAGAGGCCAAAGTATGTAGCCACTTTTCCACGTCTGCAGTAAGGTGGGTGTGGGACTCAGGGCATAATCTCAGCCATTGATTCCTGACCCAGGCACAGAACCACCTGTTTTTCTCAGCAAGAGGCTAAATCATGTTGACAGGAATCCTTTCTATACCACAGAAGATCCTGCAGACAAGTAGCATCTAGTCTGTTGGTCGAAATGTCTGAGGGTACTGAACTTCCATTTGGTTCCGGTTTCTGCTGAGGCTCAGCAGTCAAAGCTGTGTTCTGGGGGAAATGCGAAGGTAGCACACTATACCCGCTATGGGGAGCTTAAAGAGGACTCTGCTCCTTAAATAACCTGTGGTATCTGTAACTGGCATCATCAATAGAAGGGATTACCCTGGTGAGAGGGACATCCTGCTTTCTGTGCAGAGGCTCTCGTTGGTAAAGAGGAAGAACGATGGCACCCAGGACTTTGTGGAGGCAGCAGTGCATAGAGCAGGGACCCTGGGCCAGTCTCCTGAGCTCCATCCAAGTTGCTTCTTTTCTCTGTGACTCAGTTTTGTCATCGTTCATAGGGTACTATAATAACGCCTACCTCTGTCAATTGCTGCACTGAACCAGATGGCCTATTGATTGTAACTCTCCCGGGACAGTTGTTGGCACGGAATAAACACTGTGTATTAGTTCTTCATTCTACTGTGTCAAACATAAGAGAAACTTTATTAGTCTTTGTGCATATTTCCTTTACGGCCTTATGAGAGACTCCAGACCTCCATCCTTCTGCAATGACAGTTTTATCAGTGGTGTTTTCTTCCACTAAACATATGTGGCCATGACATGACTAGGGCTTTCTGAATGAGAACACAGATGGGAAACCCATGGGGTTGGAGGTCACAGTACTGCAAATGTCACTCCTTTCATGATGGATGGTGGTCTTTGGAACAAGAGGCAGCATCTGTCCAGTTGTAAAGGACAAAAAGGAAGCTGTGACAGGAGGGCGGTTGTTGGAGTGGAAAGAGCTCTGGAGTAAGAATGAAGGCTCCCAGGCTGTATCTTCAGCAGTGTTTTTAGTAACTGTCAGCGAGCAATTGATTTCTCCTTCCTGACTTTCTGTCTCTCCATCTGCAAAGTCAGGCAAATTTCTCTCTCTCCATCTGCAAAGGCAGATACCTTGCAGTGTCCGAAGCATTCAAATGTGCGAACACTTACGACCGCTTCTCAAAACGAGATAAAGGCCCTCGCTGTGTGGTGTTGGAGGCAGCACTTGATGTGTGGGCATGTGGGGTTAGGAAGCGGTTGAGACTGGAGCACTCCCTGTGGAGAGAATGTCCCTGAATAACACAGCAGAAGCCACTTGGAGGGCCTGTGAAGTCACCTGATGTGCAGGGGATTGTGGGACAAGTTTGTTTGTCCTCTCCTAAGAGAAAGAAATAGGTTGTAAATATGATCTGTGACAGGACTCCAAGCCTGTCCCTGGGCATCAGGTCTGTGTCAGGAAGGGGGAGACAGCTGCCAAAGTCCAGAGAGAGGCTGCACAAGCCTCCAGTGATGTGGGAGCAGAAGGTCTTGTCAACATTTGGCGTCATCTTGACGATGAGCCTCCGGATCAGAAACGCATTGCCTGGTGGATCAGGAATCCATGCCAGGGCATTTTGTTAAAGAGAAACCATGAGAGCTTTCAGTAGAACAGGGACCCACACGCAGACGTTCATGTCCCTGTGCACATTGGGCTGACGGTGCTTGCAGAGTGTGAAACAGGAAATATCTGAACGAACACATCTGTACTTGCAGAAAATGATCAAGATGAGGATGAAGATGTTCACGTCACAGAGGCTGAGAAAATACAGGAGTTGCGTGCCCCCAGGTAACGCTGAATAATCAGGAGCAAGTAGTGGGTGGTAAAGTTTGGAAAAGTTCTAGAATCTCACCTTCTCTGGCATCTCCTATGGGCCAAAGCCTGCAATCCCTTGGCCACAATATGTTCAGTTCAACCCAACATAGACACAGGGTGTGGCAGCTGTCGCGGTTCTTTGTATGTGCCGAGTGCCGTATCTCAATTATGCAGGGATAACTGAGTCTCTGCTCTTCTCAGCTCCTTTCTGCCCAGTGTGATGAATACCAGCTGCTCTCTTCCTCTCCGGTTTCCCATGGCAGCCATGCTGTGTTGCAGAGCGGAGGATTGCCTGTTTCCTCTCAAAGGGAACTTCCCATTTGCCTTCTGAGACCCCTCTCTTATTCCTCTTGTGAAAACCAGCTAGGACTTCCTGGGGTCCAATCCCGCTTTGTTTAATCTTCTATCATCTCTATCCCATCTGGTTCATCAGGGAGGCACCAAAGGTTGTTGTCAAGAGAGTCCCTGAAGACTCACTGGAGGAATGTGTCATCACTCGTTCAAATAGCTATGGCCCTACTGAATCCAGCCAGCCTCACAAAGAAACCAATGAAATCACAATAGAGAAATACAAGGTCGACTCTGCACTGGTTGTCGAGAGTCCATCATCTCATGATGTAGTGGAGGATGCTCTAATCATTCTTTCAGGTGACCCCTACATTCCTTGTTTTTGGTACCTAAGACTAGGCTGAGGAAGATCAACTCTGAAGACAGGCTCTATACACACAAATCGGTTTGAATAAAAACCTATCATGGGATACTAAACACAGATATCAGGGAATTTTTATCTCTTCCTCAGCTCATGCCATGCATTTGTCTCCCAGGCCCAAGTATCAAGTTACCAGACCCCAGGCCACGGTGACAAACTCATGGTCACCTGAGTGCAGGAGGTGTACAGTAGGTGTCTGTCAGGTCTCCTAGATTTGAGTTGGTATCTCTCATCTCCTGTCATTATGTCACCTGTCCCTGAACGATGTTCATGGAGTTTCCATTTCTTTTTAAGGAAACTGGGAGCCTTGCCTATTTGTTTGGCGATATTGTTCCCCAGGTGTCACTGCTCGGAGCGTCGGTCTTGATCTCTTTTGAGTCAGCTTGCTTAGCTGCACAGTCACCTTGAAACCAGGATGGAAACATTTCCTCTTTACCTTGCCGATGTGTTTCCGTGAAGCAAGGCTCAGCCCGACTCTCCACCCTATCAGTGCAATGGCGGGTCTGATTTTTCTTCGCAGCGTCACATATTGTTTGCTGTTGTTGGATTGGAGTCTTTTTTTTGTCACCCAGGCTGGAGTGCAGTGGCACCATCTTGGCTTACTGCAATCTGCACTTCACACGGACTCCGGTGATTCTCCTGCCTCTGCCTCCTGAGTAGCTGGGACCACAGGTGCTCACCACCACACCTAACTAATTTTTGTATTTTTAGTAGAGACGAGGTTTCACCATATTGGCCAGGCTGGTCTTGAACTCCTAACTCTAAGTGGTTCACCCACCTTGTCCTTTGAAATCACAGATTTTTTTTTTTTGAAACAGAGCCTCTCTCTCTCTTATTCAGGCTGGCGTTCAGCTGCACGATCTCAGCTCACTGCAACCTCTGCCTCCTGGGTTCAGATGATTCTGCTGCCTCAGCCTCCAGAGTAACTGAGACTGCAGGCATGTGCCACCATGCCCAGCTCATTTCTTTGTATTTTTAGTAGAGACAGGCTTTCACCGTGTTAGCCAGGATGGTCCCGACCCCCTGACCTCGTGAAGTGCCCACCGCGGCCTTTCAGAGTGCTGGGATTACAGGTGTGAGCCACCATGCCCGGCCCACAGATTCTTTCTTGTTTGGTTTTGTTTTGTCTTTTTTTATTCCTTCTCCCTAGAGACTGTCCAAAATTGTCAATGCCAACTCTATTGCATGTCATCACGGCGGGGCATTGGGGAAAGTTTTCAATGAGCAATAATCTCATCTCAGATAAAACTCATTGGCTACGATACTGCCACTGCGCAAAGCTCACAGATTCTTTTTAAAGCAAGTGTTGTTAGAATTTACATATCTGTCCAGTTTAATGTATAGATGCCTCTGACCATTCTATGACCTTGCTACCTGGTGAGATAAGTCAGTATTGCAGCAACACTCCCAGAAAATAGTTTGACTCATTTTTGGAGATTTTTCTGGGAACAAAATTGGTTTAACTTTGCATAGACTCAGGCAGAGAATATGGCATTATGGTCTACCCGTACAGGGAGATTTTGGCCTGTGCATCTGGAAAGCAGGCTCATCTGCTCACCAGGCTTCTTCTAGGGCACCCTGGAATCTTCCTGTCAGAATTTGTATTTTTGCCCTGAGAACAATTCTGTGCTCGTGCTATGACTAAACAGTGATTTGGTCCCATGTGAAGTGTGATTTGCTTAATGTGACCTGCTTCTCTGAATTTATTTACAGAAAGTCAAAATGATGATGAGGAAGTGGAAGAACAATGGCAAGCGCCCCCCAGGTAATGCGGTGGAGTTGTGGGCTGTTAGCTCAGTAGTGACACCTGAAGACTGCAGCTCCAGGGAAAACGGGGAAGTGATGACTAGAACTCTTCCTTCCATTCACCCAGCTACAAATTGTCTTTATTGACAGTGTTGTGGGTGATTTGTGGCACTTGTGTAGGTTTTAATTTCTTAGTCCTCCCAAGATAGGAGCCTGCAATCAGATGAGCCAGGTGAACTCAGCAAACAGGGATTTCCGGGTTTCTCCTGTTTTCTCCCATGTGTTTAAATCCAGGGAGAGACACATATATGCTTTCTGCACATTTGTTGTGAGCATGTTTGCTAGGATTTGTGAAGAGAAGAAATTCAAAACATAGACACATTATATCAAAATAGTGGAAAAAGGAGGCCCTTAATACACAAGATCTGGGTGTCTGAAATGCCTCAAGAGCTCTTTTCACTTGAATGCCACATGTAATATTCAACACAACTTATGCGAGGTAGTTGAAGCCCCGTGTTAGTTCTCGTGCTGTATTTCATGGTGAGAGTTTACAGGGAGTCTGGGTGGCCTGAAGTGGCTCATCTGTGCAAATGCACTGAGCACCTGCTGCTCATTTGTGCTCTGTCCCTGGGGTAGTCACCCTCTGCCCTGCATTTAGAAAGATAGTTTTTTTTTTCTCTTAGAGGAAAAATGCCTTTGCTTTCTGGGACTACTCCATTCTCACCTCCATCAGATCAGCTGGGAGTCTTTGTTGTCTAATCTCTGTTGGTTTAATCTTCTGTCACCCTGTCCTACCTGGCTCATCAGGAATCTGCAGGAGTCTGTGGAGGAGGAAGCACCCCAGGAGTCCTGGGATGAAGGTTATTCGGCTCTCTCAGTTCCTCCTGGCACATCTGCCTTCAGTGAGCCTTACAGGAGCAACTTGCACTCATTAGAGGAGAAGCAGGTCGACTTGGCTGGTGACATAGACAGTGAGTGCTCCATTGTGAAGGCGATGAAGCTCCATTTTGTGTCCCAGATAGACCCCATAGTCTTTGTGCATTGCTCCGCTGGCTGGGCTGAGAGTTGTCATCACTGTGGGCTGAACCTGTACATCAGTGTAGATTTCAGTCACTCTGGATTCCAGTCTGAAGCACGGACATGGGGAGGTCAGTGAGCTTTGCTCTCTCCCTAGTCTCAGGCCGTGCTCGTCACACCCTGGACCGACTGTCAGGACATTGAAACCCAAGGCCAGTGTTGCAGACGCACACCAGGGTATGCAGCGCATGCCCACGAGTTGTCTGTCAATCTGAATTCAATGCCTCTTGCCAGCTACCAAGTTCCTCATGAGTTTTGCTCCCCATGCATGTCTGTCAGGTTCTTCCCTGCTTGTACAAACTTGGTGTAACTGTTTGTACAAACTTGGGATAAAAGGATAATGGTCTGCCAGAATAGGGACATTTCACCATTGGTTCTAAGACACAAACCAAGGAATCTCTAGCATGATTGGCTTTGAGACCTCCTGAAGTCTATCTCTCACATTATCCTGTTCTCATGCTGAGGAGCCTGAGGTCCCTGTGCAGGGATTAGACAGTGGACTGTTATGGGTGGAGGGGAATGGCTTATTTTGTCTGTCCCTGTCTGAATTTATTGCAGAGATTAAAAATGACCAAGAAAGAGGAAGAAGACCAAGGCCCACCATGCCCCAGGTAACTTTGTGCAATTGTGAACAGCTAATTATGTGTTGACACCTGGAGACGCCAGGTCCAGGGAAAACAGAGTGGGCTGACAATATCGATACCGTGTTTTCAACGAAGCCTGAACTATTCCTACTAACATTGCTGTTGGTTTTCATTGCAGTAGATATTTAGGTTTCCATTTCTTCCTCCCATTTTCATGTACTAACTACTGTAGGTTGACCATACTGGTTTTTATGATCTGTGTTCTCTGTGTGTCCTGAGGGCACTAACTCAGAGTGTCCTTTTACTCCCTCATCAGTGTGTCACCTGGACAGTTCACTGAGCTTGCTTTCTCTCTCTCTCTCTCTCTCTCTTTCATTCTTTTTTTACCCTACTCTTATCCATCCCAACATAAGGCAGTAATTTGTTACATCATTAATGGATCTATGTTTTTTCTTTATTAACCACTTTCTTGTGCTACCCATGAAATCTAGTTCGGGCTCTGCGTTTCTTATTTTCCCTGACTTATTCTTTGGTTTTTCCTCCTTTTCTAGGCTCAGCATGGAGCTGGTGGAAGCAGAAGGGACTGAAGTCTTCCGGTACTCACTGGATATATTGTATTCAACGTATACAGCTTATCCTGAGTTTTACTACACATGCCAGGATTACACATATGCCATTTTTTTACTTGTGGAAGAGCATGTTCGCTTGACTTTGGACATGGACTGTAGGTTTCTTACTATGATGGTGATAGGACTCCACCTGGTCTCCCTGATAGGGGTCATATTCCCACACTAAGACAACATGTCACCTGGGACTCTGTCGGTGCAGAGTATGAACAACACCATGTTCTTGCTGAAAACACTTAGCCTGAGTTTCATAGCCTGAGGTAATCTCCAGACAACTTCACAATGTAGAGCAGTGAGCAGCACGACTGACCACAAATCACACAATTAAAAGGAGAAAGGACATTTTGGGTTGAAAAAGAGTCAAAAGATAATGTAGCTACATTGCTTTAGTTCTTTTGAACCCAAAGTGTCTCCTCACCTTTTTGTTGCTGTCATTGATGGTGGTGACATGAGCTTGTTTGTAGAGGACATGTCAGCTGTCTGGCTCAGTGGTCTACACTCTGAAGTTGTCTGAAAATGTCCTTATGATTAAATTCAGCCTAAGTGTTTTTCCGGGAACACTGCAGGGTCAATGCTACCTCACCCATCTGCAGGCAGAGACGGTCCCGTGTGTATCCCACCATGATCATGGTACCAGGACTGTTCCACCATTTGTCCACCACCATGATCGTGATGCCAGGACTGTTCCACCATTTGTCTATCACCATGATCGTGATACCAGGACTATTCCACTATTTGTCTATCACCACGATCGTGGTACCAGGACTATTCCACCATTTGTCTATCACCATGATCGTGATACCAGATCTGTACCTTTCAGAGACACCTTATTTATACTGAAGTAATTGGAAAAATGGTTTTAAAAAGTATTAATATCCTGGATTCAGATGATCATCCCCTAAACATTTTATTATTCGTTAATCATCCCCAGCTGTGCCAGTTATTATATTTATATCGCTATACTGGAAATTTTCAATTTTTACTGTATCTTTGCTTTTGCTAGTTTCTGTTGTTGAAAAAAAAAATTCCATGCCTGCATTTTCATTTTTGCCAAAGTTAATTTTAATCTATACCATTAAAATTTTTTGCCTTAAGATAAGACCGTCAGCACCTAAGGCCACAGCAAAGCAGATTTTGCTAATTTTTAAGCCTTTGTTAATTTCTGGCTGCCAAGAGACGTAGTTTACTTAGTTAGCTGCTAATACCTATTTAAGTGAGCAACCAGGGAAATGTCAATCAGACTAAGGATATGCAAAGCCCAGGCCATTCTGTTTTAGTCTTTTAAACTATTTCAAAAGAGAGGAGAATAGGCAGGTTCCACATATGTGGAAAGGAAGGAGAATACACTAAAAGACACAAACAACTATTTCCCAAAATAGAATAGAAAATTAGATTTAAATAAACATACACCATTAACATTCATAAAACATTTTCTCATGAAATGTAATCTGTCTTAACTTACCCATTATAGGAAAGTCAATTCTTAATACACCACACTACATTGACTGTCGACATTCATAAGAACATATTTCGAAGTTTATTATTGGAGAAAGCAAATGGACTATAATCCTTTTTTTTTTTTTTGCAGTGTTCTTTTTAAGGTTGATGATTTTTTTTCAAAATAAAACCAAAGATTTTAAAGATTGAAAATGGCATTAAAATTTATCTTCTCAATGTAGTGATGTTTAACTCAGTCTATCTTATTCCTGTTTATAGCATAACTGTCAAGTGATCATTTAACCATTCTTTAAATATCTGAAATTATTGGGAACAAACCACATTCCAGGGTTTATCTTATTTTTCTTTTCTTCATTTTACCTTAAGTTCTGGGGTGCATGTGCAGATCTTGCAGGACTGTTACATAGGTATGCACATGCCATGGTGGTTTGCTGCCTCCATCCCTCCATCACTTACGTTAGGTATTTCTCCTAATGCTATTTTTTCCCAATATTCCCATCCCCTGCTATCCCTTCCTCACCCCCCACCCGCAACAGACCATTGTTCAGCATTCTTTTATCAGTGAAAACATGTGGTGTTTGGCTTCCTGTTCTTGTGTCAGTTTGCTGAGAATGATGGTTTCCAGCTTCATGCATGTCCCTGCAAATGACATGAACTCATCCATTTTTATGGCTGCATAGTATTCCATGGTGTATATATGCAACTTTTTCTTTATCCAGTCTGTCGTTGACGGGCATTTGGGTTGGTTCCAAGTCTTTGCTAGTGTAAACAGTGCCAAAATGAACATATGTGTGCATGTGTGTTTATAATAGAAGGATTTATAATCCTTTGTTTATATACCCAGTAATGGGATTACTGGGTCAAATGGTATTTCTCTTTCTAGATCCTTGAGGAATCACTACACTTTCTTCCAAATTAATTGAAGTAATTTACACTCCCACCAACAGTGTAAAAGCATTCTTATTTCTCCACATCCTCTCCAGCATGTGTTGTCTCCTGATTTTTTAATGGTCGCCATTCTAACTGGCGTGAGATGGTATCTCAATGTGATTTTGATTTGCATTTTTCTAATGACCAGTGATGATGAGCATTTTTCTTATGTTTATTTGGCCACATAAATGTCTTCTTTTGAAAAGTGTCTGTTCATAGACTTTGCCCACTCTTTGATGGGTTTGTTTTTTCTTGTATATTTGTTTTAGTTCTTTATAGATTCTGATTATTAGTTTTTTGTCAGATGGGTAGCTTGCAATTTTTTTTTCCCCATTTTGTTGGTTGCTGGTTAACTCTAATGATTGTTTCCTTTGCTGTGCAGAAGCTCTTAAATTTAATTAGATCCCATTTATCTATTTGTGCTTTTGTTTGCAGTGCTTTTGGTGTTTAAGTCATGAAGTCCTTGCCTATGACTATGTCCTGAATGGTATTGCCTAGGTTTTCTTCTTGGGTTTTTTATGGTGTTAGGTCTTATGTTTAAATCTTTAATTTATCTGGAGTTAATTTTTGTATAAAGTGTAAGGAAGGAGTCCAGTTTCAGTTTTCTGCACATGGCTAGCCAGTTTCCCCAACACCATTTATTAAACAAGGAATCCTTTCCCCATTGCTTGTTTTTGTCAGGTTTGTCAAAGATCAGATGGTTGTAGATGTGTGACGTTACTTCTGAGGCTTCTGTTCTGTTCCATTGGTCTATATATCTGTTTGGTACCAGTACCATGCTGTTTTCATTACTGTAGCCCTGTAGTGTAGTTTGAAGTCAGGTAGTGTGATGTCCCCAGCTTTGTTCTTTTTTCTCAGTATTGTCTTGGCTATGTGGGCTCTTTTCTGGTTCCATGTGAGGTTTAAGTTTTTTGTTTTTCGGTTCTGTGAACATTGCTCAAGGAGATTAAAGACCTAAGTAAGTGGAAAGCTATCTTGTGTCCATGGGTTACAAGATGTAACATGGTTAAGATAAAAATACAACTCAAAGCAATCCACAGATTCAATACAACTTGATCAAAATGACTCTTTTTACAGGAATGGCTGAGAAGGACTTCATATTCCTAAGAAATAGCAAGTGTATCCTCAAAAGAAAAGCAATCTTGAAATGCAAGAAGGAACATCCTCTATTCCAAAGGTCTTTGTTCTCAGCAATACCTGGTGGTCTTCAATATACAGGCTTTCACATCTTTTTTTTTTTTTCTCATTCATTTCTAGACAGGATCTCACTCTTTCTCTCAGGCTGGAGTACAGGGGCACAGTCCCAGCTCACTGCAGCATGGAATTCTCAGACCCATGAGATCTTAGGGCCTCATCCACTGAGCACCTGGGGCTACAGGCTCACACTGCCACACCTGGATAATTTTTATAGTTTTCAGTAGAGACGAGGTCTCACTATGTTGCCCAGGCTAGTTTTAAATTTCTGAGCTCAAGCAACCCTCCTGCCACAGCCTTCCAGGTTGCTGGGATTTGAAGCTGAGCCTGGCTGGCTTTCACATCTTTATTTCCTGATGTTATTGGAAATGTTTAAAGTAATCTTTAGAAAAAATTTTTATTAAAATTGTATATGTAAGGAATTCTATATATTTATATATATTTAAGGAATACAACCTGAGGATCATATACATACACTTATACATATACATATACATATATACATATACATATACATATACATGAACCAATGTCTACTAGGTGAGGGCCTGCCTTGTGAGCAAACCCAAGGGCCCTGGCTCATGAAGCCCTTGGCTAAAAAGGTGGAGGGATCAGCCAGGTGGGCACACAGCAGATTTCCTGTTTTCTTTTGGCAAATACACAAATATCAGCACCTGCTCACTGGAGTCTCTGACAGTCCTGACCAGGCTTCGTGATGGGTGAGGTGGGCTGGGAATGGGAAAGTGGATGACCCCAGACCTAGAGACTGCCGCTGTCACCTGGGCACCTGTGATAGGCATGGAGGAGTCTCCCACAGATTTGGGCCTGATCAATGCCCAAAGATGCAAAAGGACAGGACTCTCGGCCTGGATGTTTGCAGAGCTCCCAGTCTTCTAAAGAGGCTGATGGTGGGGAAGAAGGTTCAACAAAACAGAAGATTCTGGGTACTCGAGCTTGGCAACAGAATACTTCCCTGTACTACTAAATGACAACCTCTGACATGATGAATGACACACTTGAGCAACAGCTTTCACTGTTTGACAAGCAGTGTCTCCGGACCACTAGGGTAGTGCTGTTGGATGTTGACTGAAACGTCGGTGGTTTGAGCCCATCCAGTCACATGAAATTCTCTAGCTGACATGACCTTCCATCTGAAGAGTCTCTTCCTTGGACCAAATGTATCTTAAAACTTCTCTTCTTCTTGTCTCTTGTCTATTTTCCAAAGTGCCTCTTTGTTGCTTGGAGCAAAAACAGTCCATTTTAAATCTACATCCAACAAACATCTTCCCTTACTTATCCTGGTGTTTAGGGTTTTGAGTTTGTTTTCTCAGCTGCTCATATTTGGAACACTGGAAATTCCTAAAATGGAGAATGACGGAATGTGAGTCACACCTCTGGTGAAGCCACAGACTCTGGGGGAGAAACCTAATCTGCCAGGGTTTGAAGTTAAACACATTAATTTTCTGTGCCTCCATTTCTATATGTCAAATGCACTAAACCAGAATACTCAGGTTGTCCAATGTTTAAATGAGCTGTGCAGGAAAAGCGTGGAGTCCAATGCCTGTCACATAGTAATTGTTCAATACACATGAGCTCCCATCAGCGCCGTTGCCTCCAGTATTTCCATCAGGCTTTGATCTTTTATACACCCTTCTTGATACAAGTGGAGCATTCTTCAAGCCTTCTCTAACTGATGGCCATGAAATTGCTCCAATGTGTATTATTACAAA